GGTGGTGAACTAGCAGATCCTGTCTGACTGAAGGATTGGCAATCAGCAGACAGCTGTGGAAAGGGGCTGTACTTGTCGCAGTCAGTTGGCAGTGATTCCTCCATGTCGGCCTCCTCGGAGGGCAGACAACTGGAGAGGGCCTTGTTCTCCTTCTTCAGTCTGCGTCTGGCGTTCGCGAACCATGTGGATACCTGAGTGAGCGTCATTTTGGTGATGACCGCGAGGATTATTTTCTCACTCTTATTGGGGTAGGGATTCTTACGATGGTCGTTTAACCAGGCCTTGAGCAAGCCTGTGGTCTCGCGCGTGGTGTTCTTTCGGCGCACATTTTGGCAGGATCTCACCGAAAATCTAAATAAAACAGTATATTCATAATGAAACAGGCAATATAGTTGTCAGTTACTACCAACTGATAGTTGCATAGTTCGCTTAATCGGTTAAGATGTGAATTTTGAAAAAAAGCCCACATTCAGAGTGGTCACGATGAACATAACCCTTACGGGTTAAAAGATTACAACTTTGCTACTGACCCATGTCCCCTGTAAGCGTGATTAGCTTAACTCTTCATTGTCACTTTACCGTATTCACCGCGGCTCACCCGAACAATCCAAGCGGCAAATTGGTGTGCTGCATCCAAGAATGGATGGTCTTTCAATATAGTTGGACGGAGATAGTTAATTTACACAATTATGACGCTACCTGCGACTTACTATTATCCCATTCACAGCAGGTGCCGCACGTTTTGTGACAAACCTGAGGCAGCATGTAAATCTTCCATGGTTACTTTGGGTGTATACTGTTTCGGAATGCAATCATCACCCCTGTGAAAGTAGACTCACGTCTAAGTCTATACGTTATGCGACATGCTATACTCCATACAAGTGCATTGCTCATAGCATTGTTTACAGCGACCATAAAGGGCGCCTGCTTTTATGCGCTGGGCTTCTGGGAGGAATTTTAGTCCGAATGTGTTGCTACAGTTAACTGTGATGTGGAGACCTAGAAAAGGCAGGAGTTTCCTTGGTAGCTACGAATGTTCTTGTTTATATTTACATGCCTACTCAATTAATTTCTATTAGGGTTAGGATTAGCGTTAGGGTTAGGGTGGGATAGTGACATCGTATGTAAAAAAAACCAAGTTTCTGTCTTACGGGGAGCGTGGGTGTTAGCATGTAAATATAAATAAGAACATTCGTTTCTACCAAGGAAACTCCTGCCCTAGAAATATTGAGTTGCATATCAGTTAATATGATGGCAGGAGGAGTTGCGACTACCGGAAAAGGCTTCAGCCAAATCTGCGTTCCGAAGAAGAAGAAAACGTACTTGGTTACTGCCCTTTTGAGAAATTTCCTTTCCCGTCTGCTAACAGAACGTGGGAACACGAACCACCTGTAAAACAGCTAGCTGTGCACAAGAGCACCAGAAAATTAACTACGGTAAACGTCTCATTTGCTGTTATTGTTCGGTTTGCTAGATGGGAATATTTATCTCTCTTGGAATTTTGCGAAAAGCCATCTGTATTACAGAGGGGAGCATTCATTTGCCCGTGACCTATCAGAGGAACGTATACCTGATTTTGATCACTTCCTAAACTGAGGAAAAATAAGAAAATTATATGATCGTTTTCTAAATTGGAAAGATGAGAGAACTAACTAACTGCTATAGGCCGGTATTAGCTCAGCCACATCTGCTGCTGAACCTCACTCTTACGTAAATGTTTATATGAGCGGAAGAACGCCCACCGATCGGGTACGGAACGCATGCGTTCGGACCTGCCTGATATTTTTACGGCCAAGTGCACAGAAACACATTCGTGTTTGGTTAGGTGAAGAGCTGCAACAGTCTGGCACTGTCGGAAATATATTCACCTATGGACAATACAACTTAACAGTTGACTGCTCATGTACATTGATCTATCGCATTAAATGTTAACCTAAATGCAGAAATGTGTTTTCGATTAGAAAAGGGGACTGAAGCGAGATTATAATATTTAATATTGTGCGGTATATTTCAGTCACAGTAGGATGCCACTCTTTGAATGAGCTTCAGTTAGACCACCTGCATTAAACTGCGCTCTATACAAAATCTCGTCTTACTTTGTAGAAATTTTAGTTGTAGATTTTCGACGCCGTTTTAAATTCAAATACGTTCTGTAGGTAACATGCAAAACGAAACTTTCTAGTATGCATTTTTTTCGTAACTTGCATCTTCAACTTTTCTTCTTGAAGAGACGGTATCTTGCAGTTTAACAGTTTTTCATTATGAAATGTTTACAACCGTTAAATTTCCACTCAAATAGCATCGTGTCTGTTCTTATATTAATGCTGCCTACTAGGTATACAAGATGATCCCAATCCACTGCAAAATTGAATGGGCCATATCTGACGTCTTCTTAGTAACGCGGAGAATTAAATGAACTTCTTGACACCGTAGATATAAGTATATAGCTTGGAAAACCAAAGCACTAGTGCAGCTGCGAGTACAACGCAAAATGATTCTGAATGTGCAGGCGGTCAAAAGGGTCTCATTCAAAGCCAGCATTTTGGCGCAACTAATAAATCTTTAAATTAAGCTGTAGAGTAATCGATATTACAAATCAACCTAAGTAGTCTTTTCTGATCGAAAATAGATTTCAACACTTCGGTTGAAATTTCACGAGATAGGCCAGATGTTTTATGCTGGACAATGAGCTTAAGTTCAGTCCAGTTAGGGGTGTTGGCCCATTAAACAGTGTTAGCTTACTATGCATGTGCCTTACTTCTAATCAAATTTATTTGACTGGCAAATTTCCAGAATAGGAATGCACTTTGCAGTCTGAGATGCATTCAAGTATCAGCTTCATAGGGTACTAGATTTGCATATTTGCTCACCTTAGATCCTGGTATAGCTTCAGAACGCTGGGGTCCGGATTCTTCGGCAGCGCTGATTGTTTGTAGCGTCGGCACTCTTCCACTCCTCTCTTTAAACAAGATAGAAAAAAATGAAGATCGCGGTAGCACTATTTCTATTGAATGGTTTAAAAAGTGACAAATTGCTAAACAACTCAAGATTTAGACTAACCCAAAAAGTTCCACATATATTTATTACTGGCACGGATAACAAAGTCAGCAGAATTACTGTCTCTTTCCACCGACACTTCTAGTTTCTGCGTCGGATCATTCACCGGGAATACCGTTGTAATGCAGTATATTGTCGCTTTACATATTTTTAGGTCTTATAAAATGAACTCAACATGCTTCTTTTATTTTCAGAAGGAAGATGGGTATATTCTATAATTTTCAACGCGATAAAATGGTGCATTAAAATTCTGAGAATAACGTTATGATATAGCTTGTAGTATGCTCGAATAATTCTTCAGTTTTCATTCCTGCTTGTCATGATCTTGACCATGTCGAAGGACCATTTGTGTGCGCGACGTCATACCTCATTATTTCCCGCTGTTTTTGGAAAATAGTTGAGCGCTGACCTTGCTTACATTTTAGAGAAAACTTATTTCACTGCCTGTTCTTGGGCACGAACCGTAGTAGACAAGCTTTTAAGTCTACACTAAATTCACTCTAGTTACGGTAAGCGTTTTTTGACCGAGGTCATTTAAGCTACAGATTCCTGGTTTAATGAAAAAGACCCCAAATCGTACTGTCAGTCACCGAGTTGGCTAGTAAAGATATGAATACCTCACATAAGTGAATAAAATATAA